GGCACCAGGTCGCCCTTCCCGTGAGATCAGCTTGCTACCGCCGTCCCGCGAGCCAACCCGGCTCCAGTCGCATCGCTGCCCCCTCTTGACGCCGCTGCGTCATTGACTCGTATCAGCATCCCACGCCGCCTCACAGCCGGCGTCTCAAGAAATGAAAGCACAGAAGATTACCCACACGGCGTGCCTCGCCGGCGTCGGTGTCGGCCTCCTCCGGGTCCTCGCCCTGGGCCGCCGCCTCCTCCGATCCTGCCCGCTCCACCTGCGTCAATGCCCCGGTCATACGGATGCGGGATGACATTCAATAGAACCTTCCTCGTCGCATCGAGACGAACAAGAAGATGAGCGGTGGCAAAGTACAAAGACCAAGGACGTAGAAGAAGGAGTTCTGCCACTTCTTGGAAGAATCCTCCAGCGGCATCTTGGGGCACTCCCCGCGTGTCCGCATCATGATGACGGCGGCCCTGCAGGAGGACATCTCCCCGGCCTTCGGGCCCTGCTGGTTCAAGGAGAAGAAGCGCATCCAGAGGTCGATCGTGGGCTCGACCCCCAGGTACCGCTCGCACAGGGTAACAAAGTCGGACAACTGCAGAATGGCGTTCACGCCAAGATGGTGTGGTATGAGCCCGAAGAACTCCAGGAATGTGTGGAAGAAGTTGCTCGCGAGAAGGCGGAACCCGCGCTTGAAATGCATGTAGAAGACCACGCGCTCGGTCCCCTCCGGCCGCGGCTCCTGCTCGCCCTCCGGCAGGCGCACGGCCACTTCTGTCTCCCTCGGCAGGCGCCTGGTGTCGGGCAGATATGTGATGTCCTCCCCGGTGATGGTGGAACCTATCCACGATCCCGACGGCAATGCCATGGACGGTGTGGGGCGGAGCAGAACAAGGAAAGAGAAGATTGGCGACGAAGTCTTGCTCAAAGAGCGGCGGAGCATCACGGTGCGCAGCAGTCGCAAGAGCAAGAAGGAGAAGGAAGAAGAAGGGGAGCGTGAGCGAGAGTGATTTCCGCCGCCCCCTCCTCCCAATTTATAAGCCACAGTGGGAACGTGGGGATGTGGGATCGTTTGCGCCCGCCCCTCCCACTTCCCCGCAATAACTACGCACGTACCACACGCAATAACTGACTCGAGAATGGCAACCGACCCGCGGACGCCGCAATAAATCCACGTGTGTGGGCCGAGGGCGCGCAGTCACGGGCCCCAACTCATCGCCGCGTCCCATCACGCATGTGGCCTGTCAGGTCCCTTCGGCTCTCGAGCGCCACGTGGTGCCCGCACCGAGCCCAATAGATTGTTTCAAGATTCGGCGGACTCCTGGTTTCCCGCCCACACCGGGATGCCGTGATCCGGCTTCCGGAAGATGGCACACAGTGGGAGTTGCCGGACCGGGAGGTTGCAAGATTTACCAACAGCCGCATCCTCAAGGGGGAAACTGCGAAGGCCCTCCTACTTGAAGTCGGCGGACCTTCATAGCTTCGGGGACTACTGTCGGGGGGATGAACCCCGGGCAGGCAACGGAATCCGGATCCTTTTCAAAAACACCGGGGCCAGCATCTCCCCTCTAGCCGGCTCACGCTTGGCCGGGTTCCTCAACCCAGCCAAGTCCCTCAACTCGGCCAAATGCTTCGACCCAACCAAGACGGCTACCCGGCCTTGCCGGAAGGCGCAAGCCGGTTGAACCTATGAACCAAGACTTCTTCAGCAAGCCAGCTCTCCCGTGGCGTGTTCCTCAACCCGTCCATGGGTCAGCTCCTGTCCCATCCAAGGTATGATGGGACAGGTCTCCACTAAAGGGATGAGCGTGGAAACAGTGACCCACCAACTCCTCTGACCGGTGAAGGCATGGCAACAGTGCCCCACCTGCACGCTAACCATAGCCGTCGTGGCTACAGCGCGCCCATCGTCACTCCTGACGCCGGCAGATGGCGACCTGGCGGTGCACCATTGTAGCGGACTCGACCCGGCCACTCCGTGACGATCGACAAGACAAAGAAAAGTGCGTGCTGGCACACGGGGCCCGCGCCCGGATAACCCAGCGAGCCCTGACACCCGGCGGGTCCCAGCACCGGCTTCCCAGACGATGACAACCCAGCCCCATGGCTTTGTAACATTACCATTGTACACTTGGGGGGTTGACCTATAAAACCCCCCAGGAGCCCTCATGCAGACAGGCGATCCGATCGGTAGAACGCAGACACCCACACAAGGAGAAGGAACAGCTTAAGCCCTGGCCTGCATTCCTTCTTCTTCCAAACAGCTCTAGAAGCAACTTTGTACTGTTTCATATAAACCACACTCGGCAGGACTAGGGGTGGTATCTCTCCGGAGAGCCCCGAACCTGGGTATGTCTTGCGTCCCTCGCTCGCTCATGCCAACCTCGTCTCTCGAGCCCACCGGTGCCCTCGAGCCTCCTCCCCTCTTTAGCCATACTTTGGCATCTGCCGTGCGCCCACCACGACAGTGTGGAACTTGAAGAATTTTTTCGTCATAGTTCTACTCACACATCATGCAAACATCATACATGGAAATAGATTTCTTAGAATTTTCAAACCACATATATCCATATAAGGCTAATCATAGCTGGGAGTAACTTTCACAGTGAGTAGTAACATATTTGTAGTATCGTGCAAACCTTCATTTATTAAGATGTAGATTCATATTGCATTGGGGTTCGTTATGTTAAGGTAGTGTGTTATGTTACCACAAGCATCTCTCTACTCTTAAGTACTTGCCACATAAGCAAATTTACCTTCGGATGTGCTCATGCAGTGCATATAATGCGTTCTGGGCTGTGGGCCAACAGTTGATTATCCAATAGAAGTCTTGATATATACTAAATTGGTCTGGATGGGAAGGACGTAGATTAAATCGCAAAAGAAATAAAGAAGTTATGTGTCGAGTAAAAAAGAAACTAGGGAGTACCTCACCAGCCAGTTCTCTTTAGATCGCACACACGTGTGTGTACATGTTTACGTCGTACACAATTGAATCTCAACCACATCTATAATCCATAATACCTAAATAGTTGATCCCCACTACTTCTAATTCTCTCAACATGTGAGTCATCCACCTCATCAAGTGTGTCACGTCAGCATCCACTAACAATATTTTTCAGCCCATGCAAACCTTATTCGATTATCACTAATTCTCTCAACATGCAAGCATCCAACTTCAGCCCATGCAAACCATAACAATATGTTTATTTTTGTCACTGGACATATGTAGTAGATTAGATAATTATTTAATTTATTTACTTCCTAAAGGTTGTGAAATGCCCTGATTTAGACAGAATGCAAGTACGGAATATTTATATGTTCAAATTATTAGCTTATGATTTAGATCTTTTCCTTCATATATAAGTCATTTGTAATTAATTTTTATATTCCTACAGCAACTCGCGGGGAAGGTTTATTATATTAGAGATCCAACGGCCATGGAATTTTGGAACATGGTTCCACACGCATCCACTATGACTAGTAAAATAAGAAAAATGCTGTAAAAACCAAAAAAATGTGTTTTCGTGTGTTTAAAGTAATTTGAAGGTTTGATTTTGTTTCTTCGTTAAGAATATCATGGTTACATGTCATTTCTTCGTGAAACTTCACAAGTTCACATTTGAATAGACACTCGATCAAGTTTTGTAACCTTAAATTTTATAATTGTTTGATTCTTTTGCTATTTTTTATCTTATTGGGTGCATGAAATCATGTTCACCATTGTGTTTTTTAGATCCAACCATCTAAATTTTTTAGATGATGTGACCTTACATGGTGTCTCTCTGAGTGCCTCTAGTTACTAATATAGAATCTTTTCGGGTGGCCCTGCCGAAAGGGAACAACGTACTATGAAAGAGACACATGTCTTAGAATTTTCAAACCTCTACATAACTTCTCGAATAAAAAACTTTAATTAATGGGCACATTTGTGCCACAATACTGAAAGTGACAGTTACAATATCACGTGAATTTTCCATTCAGTGTTCCTGTGTCTCTCCAGTATTATACACGTGTGCCGTTTAGGGGCCTCTCCTGTTCTAATTCTTATATAAAGCCAACCAGTTCACAAGGCATGCATCACCAACCTTAGCATTATCAGAGAGAAGTGATCAGCTGAGCTCGAACGTTCTCCGGCAATGGCAGCCTCCGTGGAGAGTCACGGTCGCCCACACCCGCCTGCGATGAATGACAACCAGCGCAGCCACGGGTTTCACCACCCCACCGTATGGGGGGACTTCTTCCTTGGTTTCAGGCCATTCTCTCCGGCGCAGGTGAACTAAATTTAATCAGCACACTCCAGTGTTGTACCTTCTTGTTGGAGCTAGGTTGGATGAACTAGTAGTACTTCCGTTGCACAACTCCTTATAGATGTCGTTTTACAGAATGTAGAAGTTAACTTAAGGTTTAGCGGATAATATAACGCACATCATGAAGTATGTTTTTGTTGAAACATATTTTCATGCAAAATGGACTGTTGAAGCATAACCTCGTACACCAAGTGAGTACTAATGTTACATGCTCTTGCAGTGTATTTCCATGAAAAACAAGGCTGAAGTAATAAAAGAAGAGCTGAGGGCGACAATAGTAGATTCGGGTTCTGTTGATCTGCCTCAGAAGCTTGAGCTTGTCGATACTTTACAGCGGCTTGGTTTGGACTACCACTATGGGACGGAGATCAATGATTTGTTGTGTGGGATTCATGATGCCGGCGATGAAGCCCACGATCTTCACACGGCGGCCCTTCGATTTTATTTGCTCAGGAAACAGGGATTGAATGTTTCACCAGGTATAACGAACATAATTAGAATATCAAAGACGTGGGTAGGTGAGGTTTTCTAGAATTATTTGTCCTAATAGAACCATGTACTATACATTACAATGCCACAGATGTATTCCTAAAGTTCATAGATGACGAAGGAAAGATTACGTGCAACGACACAAGAAGCCTCTTGGGCGTGTACAACGCTGCCCATGTTCGAACCCATGGTGAAGAAACACTCAGCAGCGCGATGGCTTACGCAAAAGACCATCTCGAGCGTGCCGTGGAGCAACAGACAATTCCACCATCAATATTGCTCGATCAGGTGCGGCGCGCGCTGGAAACACCTCTTTTCAGGAGGCCTCGCAGAGTTGAAGCGCGACACTTCATCTCAGTTTATGAGAGAATGAGTACAAGGAATGAGGCCATTTTGGAGCTTGCAAAGCTGGACTTCAGTATTCTGCAAGCCCTGTACTGTGAGGAGCTGAGGGCTCTTACTCTGTAAGTGACTCTCTATGACGAAATCTGCTAGTATATAACACTGGACATGGTGTCTCGCTGAGTAGGCCGAAAGCACCGGCCGCAGGCACCAAAGCTGGATCCCTTGTGCGGAGTAAGGGCGCCTCACACCCAGCAGCGAGTGCTGCACAAGGAACCTCCAAGGCAGCTACGTGTGGTGGCCTAGCCACAAGACAAGGCTCCCATGGTGGGCTACAAACAAGTCTAGCAGGAGGGCTTGGTGGCTCACGTGGTGAGCTAGGGCCATCTACACCTAGTGACGTTGCAAGTGATCCACGAGATATGCAAGGTTCTTTACCAGCGCATGTACGTACAGTTTTGCCATGCTTGGCCACTATAATGCAAGAAGATGGGAACGGCAATGTAACATCTGTACCCGGGGATGAAAGTCTAGCTTTGCCAAAAGCAATGTGCGAAGCAAACGGTGAGGAGTTACTCCTGAAGGTACAAGGAGCCATGCAAATAATGTCGTCTCCGAAGGCACAAGAGACGAGGACAACGCCACCTACACCTGTACTGCTACAACCGGTGTTACACCCATATTCGGAGAAGACTCTTCGGACGATTGACCCGGTAAAAGTGAAAGGGAGTGGGCGACGGTGTCTAGCAAGTGCCGAGGACTCGGCAGAATTTGTGGACGCAAATACGAAGGAGTGTTGGCGTCATGCTATGAAAGAAGAGTTGGGGTCGATCCATGACAATAATTCATGGGAGTTTGTGGATCTTCCCAACAATGAAAAGACTATAGAGCTTAAGTGGGAATTCAAGGTCAAGAACGATGTTGAAGGGTGGATGAAGCACAAGGCGCGGTTTGTAGCCAAAGAGTATGTGCAAGAAGAGGGTGTGGACTTCGAAGAAGTGTTCGTTCCCATTGCAAAGATGGAGTCGGTGAGATTACTCATCGCTCTCGCGGCTCAGGAATCATGAAAAGTACATCACATGGATGCAAACTCTATGGTTTTGAACGGCGAGATAGGAGATGTGTATGTGAATCAACCACCGGATTTCATCAAAGAGGAAGAAGAGCACAACGTACTGAAGTTACACAAAATCTTGTATGGACTATGGCAAGGACCTCGGGAGTGGAACATCAAACTTGATCGGACATTGATTTCTCTTGGATTTGAGAAAGCCCCACTAGAGCATGCAATGTACAAGAGAGGTGAAGGAAGGGATCGTCTACTAGTTGGCATCTACGTCGACGACCTATTAATTACCGGAGCAGATGAAGAGGTGATTGCAAAGTTCAAGCTACAGATGAAAGAGTTTTTCAAGATAGGTGATCTAGGTCTTTTGAGCTACTACCCCGGGATAGAGGTACATCAAAAGATGGAGGGGGTCACACTATGAGAGGAGGCATACGCAAGGAAGATACTTAAAAACTGTGCTATGAAATATTGCAATCCAATTGACGCTCCGACGAAACCTCGTCTTGAGCTGAACAAGAAGAGTAAAGCACCCGTAGTTAATGCAATAGAGTATATTGCAGCTGCCACTGCGGCGTGTGAAGGTGTGTGGCTAGGGCGGCTACACGGTGATCTCATGGATCGAGATCTGGAACAAGTGGTGCTTAATGTTGATAGCAAGTCTGAAAGTTTTCTGCGCGAAGATCCAGTGCGGCATGATAGAAGCAAGCACACTGATACGGTGTATCACTACATAAAGGACTGCGTGAAAGAAGCTAAGATGAAGGTCAACTACGCTTGCACCGATGATCAGATGGCAGACATCCTAACCAAGGCTTTGCATCGAGAGAAGCTCTTGGAGATGCGAAGAAGGCTCGGAGTCGGAGCTGTGACATAACGACGTCGTGTTTAGGGGGTGATTGTTGGAAGTAAAGCCGACATACCCTCCCAGCTGGCGGTGTTTGGGTCGTGTACGAGCATGTATCCGGTTAGTATTTGAGTCAGAGTTAGTCTAGGAGTAGTATTACTCTAGATAGCTTAGCTTTCGTACTATATATATGTACGTACCCCTAGGCTTGTAATACCACCGTGAGATCAATAAAGCAAAACACCAGGCTCGAGACGGGCCTGTGGCAATCATCCAAATACTTGTGTGCGTGCGTTTGTTTCCGGCCGGCTGGCCGCCGTGCACGTACGTGTGATTTTGGTGTTGCCTACGGAAAGATTGATCAGGAGCAGACTAGCTAGTACAAGCTAGCTTTGCACTACGGTGTGTATCGACGTAAAGCACTTCGTCGAGATTGTCAGCAAGGTTTGTTCGTCATTGTCGTTCGTCGTCGGTCGTACCACCGTCGTGGGAAGTACTCGACGTCGGGACTGGGCCAACAATATAGGCAAAATTTCACCTTCTGTCCCTCGGTGCAATTTGTTTCGTCACTAAGCTCTAAGTCCAGACACAACCCTTGAAATGGATTTCATATGATCCCTCATACCATTACAATACAAGTTCTTGGTTCATGTGCAGGTGGTGGGAAGGACTGCAACTACAAGACCACTTGAGCTTCGCACGAGACAGGATGGTGGAGATGCACTTTTGGATGCTTGGAGTTTTATTTGAGCCACAATATTCATACGGACGAATAGTGCTCACAAAGTTCTTTACATTTATATCGATATTCGATGACATTTACGACAGCTACAGCACCTTAGAAGAAAGCAGGCTCCTCACCATGGCAATGGAAAGGTCTCTATATATCTATGTTGGCTTGGGTGGTTTTAACAACCCATTAATGTGTTGCTTGATACTAATTCTAGAACAACTCTCTATTGTTTTTAGGTGGGATGAACAAGCCGCTGAACACCTCCCAGGTTACACGAAGTTTTTCTACAGAAAAGTACTCGCGACCATGAAGGTCATTGAAAAAGATTTGGATAGTCAAGGAAACAAGCATGCAGACTATGTAAAAAAGCTAGTAAGTTGATATCTCATGAACATGTTTAACTAAAGAAATATAAATCATTAAATACTTGCATATGATCATTATGGATGGAACGCAACTAGCACTATGACGTGAAGCCCCTGATCGCATTCTGGAATATTGATGTAGAGCCACTTGCATGCGTGTACAAATAGGTAAAAGTGATGAAATCATCAAGACTCTTGATAAATTTAAAATTTAAAATATTTTGACTCATAAATAGTGTACTAGATGTATGGTTCATCTTAACTGATGGCTTTGTTTCACAAGACATACAAAACTAATATCATAATATTTGTTGTCTTAACAGTTATCACCTATACTTATGAAGAGCATGTTTTATTAATGTTCAACAACAACAAAGCCTTTAGTCCCAAACAAGTTGGGGTAGGCTAGAGATGAAACCCATAAGATCTCGCAACCAACTCATGGCTCTGGCACATGGGTAGCAAGCTTTCACGCACCCCTATCCGTAGCTAGCTCTCTGGTGATACTCCAATCGTCCTTTAGGTCTCTCTTAACGGACTTCTCCCATGTCAAATTCGGTCTACCCCGCCCTCTCTTGACATTCTCCGCACGCTTTAGCCGTCCGCTATGCACTGGAGCTTCCGGAGGCCCGCGCTGAATATGCCCAAACCATCTCAGACAATGTTGGACAAGCTTCACTTCAATTGGTGCTACCACAACTCTATCTCGCATATCATCATTCCGGACTCGATCCTTTCTCGTGTGGCCACACATCCATCTCAACATACGCATCTCCACCACACCTAACTGTTGAACATGTCGCCTTTTAGTCGGCCAACACTCAGCGTCATACAACATTGCGGGTGGATCCGCCGTCCTGTAGAACTTGTCTTTTAGCTTTTGTGGCACTCTTTTATCACAGAGAATGCCAGAAGCTTGGCGCCACTTCATCCATCCGACTTTGATTCAATGGTTCACATCTTCATCAATACCCCCATCCTCCTGCAGCATTGACCCCAAATATCGAAAGGTGTACTTCTGAGGTGCCACCTGGCCATCAAGGCTAACCTCCTCCTCCTCACACCTAGTAGTACTGAAACGGCACATCATGTACTCGATTTTAGTTCTACTAAGCCTAAACCCTTTCGATTCCAAGGTTTGTCTCCATAACTCTAACTTCCGATTTACCCCTGTCTGACTATCATCAACTAGCACCACATCATTCGCAAAGAGCATACACCATGGGATATCTCCTTGTATATCCCTTGTGACCTCATCCATCACTAATGCAAGAAGATAAGGGATCAAAGTTGACCCCTGATGCAGTCATATCTTAATCGGGAAGTCATCAGTGTCGACATCACTTGTTCGAACACTTGTCACAACATTATCGTACATGTCCTTGATGAGGGCAATGTACTTTGATGGGACTTTGTGTTTCTCCAAGGCCCACCACATGACATTCCGCGGTATCTTATCGTAGGCCTTCTCCAAGTCATTGAACACTATATGCAAGTCGTTCTTTTGCTCCCTATATCTCTCCATAAGTTGTCGTACCAAGAAAATGGCTTCCATGGTCGACCTCCCAGGCATGAAACCAAACTGATTTTTGGTCACGCTTGTCATTATTCTTAAGCGGTGCTCAATGACTCTCTTCCATAGCTTCATTGTATGTCTCATCAGCTTAGTTCCACGGTAATTAGTACAACTCTGAACACCCCCCTTGTTCTTGAAGATTGGTACTAATATACTTCGTCTCCATTCTTCTGGCATCTTGTTTGCCTGAAAAATGAGGTTGAAAAGCTTGGTTAGCCATACTATCGCTATGTCCCCGAGACCTTTCCACACCTCAATGGGGATACAATCAGGGCCCATCGCCTTGCCTTCTTTCATCCTTTTTAACGCCTCCTTGACCTCAGACTCCTGAATTCGCCACACAAAACGTATGCGGTCCCATCAAAGGAGTCGTCCAGTTCAATGTTTTATTAGTCTTCGTAAAAAAAATCTGCTACGCTTAAGAAATATGTGTATGCATGTATGTTGACAATCAACTTCCCCATGGAAAATAAATATATAATTGTGCCTGTGCAGCTAATCGATGCTACAAAATGCTACTACAACGAGGCGAAATGGTGTGAGGAAAGCGACACACCAGTTACTGTTGAGGAGCACCTGCGGATCTCGGTGCCTAGCTGTTGCTGCATGCATGTTGCATGCCTTGCCTTCAGTGTCATAGGAGCGGGCAGAGACGCCATCGAGTGGGGCATGACCTATCCCAAAATCATGCGAGCTTCCTGCACCATCGGCCGCGTCATCAATGATGTGGCTTCACACGAGGTTACACACTTACAGCTGAAAATATATGCCATGTTTTATTTTATTTGCTTTTTTCAGTTCATGGATAAGTTTGGGATCCTTTTAGTTTTGTAGCTTGTTGCTTTTGTTTGGTGGTGAATATTATGCAAAAGCATAATAAATCCTAGTTCTGTGCATCATGATATCTATGCCAATTAAAAGCCAATTAAGTAAACTGATGTAATCCCTCCATTCTGAAATACCCTTTCTTTTAAATTAATACATGGCGTTTTAGAGATTTGTGTATCTAAGACTCTAAAAATGAACATAGATATATTGCTGTAAATTATAAACTTACTGAACTTCAAAATGTTTTAAATGGTAAATCCCACGATATTATTGTAGTTAACAATCTCAAATAAGATAGTCCCCTCAGAGAAGTTTGGGAAAATATTTTCTAGAACACCATCTAATTTGGAATGGGGATAATAGTTAACTGGTCATACAAACCACTTGCCATACAATATAGGTAAACTAATAGAAAAGTTATTTAACTAGAAAAGGACACCCTGGTAACTGCATCATTTGATGCATTGCTGCACATAGCCGTATTAATAGAACGGGTGATCACTTTGTTAACATGACCCTCTTTTTCCCTCGTAAATCAGCGATAACAAGAACAGTGCTCTGGCGAAAGGTCTGTGATGTCAACGGTGGAAGCATGCATGGAGGAGAACAACTACATTGCGAAGGAAGATGCATACAAAAAGCTCAGGGAGCTCATAGAGGAGTCATGGATGGACATCATTGAGGAGGTCCTCAGGCCATCCGCCGTGCGGCCCGCAGCGCCGCTCCTCGAGGCAGTGGTGAATTCGACACGGATGTTGGACTTCTTGTACAAGGATCAAGACGCGTACACCGATCCACGAGGTCTCAAAGTGGTAGTAGATTCTATATATGTAAATCCTATATAGAGAAAAGTATTCAAATTTCTATATGCAAATAATCATGCTATGAGAAACCATATAACTCACCACTCATGTATCATCCAATGTATCTACGAGAAAACTATGAGAAAAAAATGTACTATGCGCAAGCCGAATGATAATCAAGTCTTTCAATCAGCTGGTTTAGCAAGTAGTATCTAGACTAAACATGCATCACACCGTCCACTACTTTACACCTGGATCTGGAGAATCTGGTGCCTGGCAGCAAGCAACATATAGGAGCTGCTCTCCTAGCCTCGTCGAGCCAGTCGGTACCTACCAAGCAAGGGATGGGAAGCAGAAATTGTGCATTGTACCAGGACAATCGTTTGTAGCACCTTAGTGTTGAACATTTCCTGAGCACTTGACCAATTCTCGGTGCTTTACCTTTTATGGTGTCATGACATACTCTTCGACACGTATGTTATCAAATGGTTATCCCTAGGAGTTAGTTGGTTGACCGAGAAAAAGCAACATTTACCTTGTTTGAGTCACCTTCACACAGTACTAGAAATTTCGTTATCCACCGATGGTACAACCTCTGCCTCTGTCCACCAACATACTTGCCAGCTTTATCACTATTGGCGAAGAGATGCAAGGTAGCACGATGCTGCAATCCAGCCAACCACTTCCCACAAGATTTTTCTAACGTGGCATTTTTCAACTCTTTAATATGTTCGATTTTTTCGTGGCAACTCAAGCTATTTCTTTTGAGTCCACAGTGAAACTAGCGGCTGCGATGAAACATCTAAGATTTATTTAAATTGTTTGTATATGCTAAATATAACTATACTTGGTCTACAATGAATGATTTTGATATAATATTTACTTTATTCTAAATGTTAAAAACATATTAAAAATATCGGTAATTTAAAATCTTTTTTTGCAAGATAAATACTAGACAATTATTCTTGCAAAGCTTAATCCATGCACTTATTACATGTGATAGTGATCAAAGTTAAACACTGACACTGAGGTGCATCCAGACTTTGAACATCCATTTAGCCTGATCAAAGTGCGTACGGCTATCCCTTTATTTAGTGAAAGAATTATTGCATTTCATTGTGTTTCACACACGAATTTTCAAGTCCAAACAAGCAGGTTCATTTACGCTTGACCAGTCAAATAGTCAATAGATACCTACTGCTAAGGACTACTAGTAGAATGATGGTAGTGTGTCGTAGTCGGTGTTAAATAAAATACGCGCCTGCTGCTCACACCGATTATAGCAAATGCATTTTAGGAATAAACTTCCGTTTTCTAGACAATCAATTCTGTGGGATGCATTCGCTTGGTGAGGCCGGAAAACAGAAGTACCACATGGTCAAGTCGAGTGAAATTTGTACGCCAAAGGACCAAGTGGATTTGGCACATTGTTCAAGGAGATGGGGGCCTGTGGTTGGATTTTATCAAAGCTAAATATCTAAGGGGACAATCCTTCACTATATGCTCTCAGGCTCGCGGTTCCCAATTTTGGCAGGCAATTCAATCTCTGAAACCATGTTTTCGGCTC